TTTCTCTCTCTCTCTCTTAGAAACTCAACTTTTCTTACACAGATCTCTAGATCTACTTGTTTAGAGACATCTTTTCACCTTGGTCCTTTGAGAAAGGTTGTAGATCTCATCAAGGACTTTCTTTTGATCTAAGAGTTTCATGATTTCATCGACTTTGAGTTTTTCAAAGTTCTCCTTTTCGCTTCAAGAGGTAGGGTCTATTCCTAAACTCAATATAAGTCCAGTAGCATATTTGTGGTGTATTTTATTATTTATATTTGGTAATCATTTGGTATGACTTTTGCCCTAGTTATTTGTTATTTCAAAAGATCTTTGGATTTGGGTGTTTTGGGTTAAACTTTGGGTTTGGATTTGAAATGTAAAAAGGAGGTTTTTCAAATGAATTCTTGAACAAGGTTATGATTTTGTATTATTGGTTGAGATAAGTTGACATGGTGGCTTTCCTTTACTCAAAAGTGATTTTGAAAGAAAATGAGGTTTTGCTCTAAAAATATGGGTTTTGGCATGTGTTAGAAAACAATGAAAAATGATGTTGGTTTTGTGAGAGATGGGAAGAAAATGGTTATGGAATTTTTAAAATGGTTGTTGTTGTTACTCTTTTAGAAAATATATCTATATTGTTGTCTTTTAATTGTTGTGTTAGAGATAACTGTTTTGCCTATCGGTGAAGGATAGCATTGCCGTGTTTTAGAAATTGCATGTGGATTAGGCAATTTGAAATTATTCATATCATAGAGCGTGTAAACGATTTTTGGAATTTAAAACCGTATGTTTGGAAAGATTTTGGAAATTCTCATATTTTGTTTTGGTACATTTACGTTGTTTTGAAAAAATAATATTTTGAATCACACATGTTATGCTATTGGGAAAAAGGTAAATAAAGTGGTAAATGCTATGAGGGGGTGTTAAACCAAAATTAAGTTGGCATGTATGTCCATGGTGAAAGACCTAAACCTGCGCGGTAGGTGTCGTGCCTTCCAGTTAACACCGGAAAAAATGACCTTGTGACTTGTATAATTACTCGTATGAACACTAGCTCTGAGATTTACCCATTTTATTTACTATCATGTTAGTTTGGAACATAATGCTGGGAAAATGCTTTTAACAACGTATTTGCTATTGTCTAACGATGTATTTGCATTTGATTTAGCAATGTATTTGTAGTTAGTATTGAGATACCTGGATCAGTTTTTGGAAAGGAAGTTTATATCAAACGGTTGATTTGAGCTCAAAAAACGTTTTGATTAAACGTAAGGTTTTGGTAATTGGAACGAAAGGATTTTGTTGAGAAATCAAATGGATTTGAAAATGCAGTTGGGTATATTGTATATATGTATTGCATCATGATCATTTATGCTGGTGGAGCATGTTTAGTTTTTGAAATATTCTCTACTTGGCTTTATGCTCACCCTACGTGGCTGAAAATATTTTTCAGGTGTACATGTGTGGATGTGAACTTAGGCGTGAAGCTGTGTTCAGAACCGTATAGGGTGGTCCTGTTAGTTGTAGGCCAAGGGCCATTTATGTTATTTATTGGCCATGTGCCATTCTTGTCAGGGTTACACCCTTGTATATAATGTAAGCCTCAGGGCATTTAATTTTATTTTATAACATCTGTGCATGTTTTAGTTACATAGCAACCATTCGACTTAGATGTTGTATCTAGTAATGTAAAAGATCGGATAAACACATGTATTGTGTAACTATATTATATTAATTTACATGAAAGTTGTTATCTATTGTTCATCGTTGGGTAGTTTATTCATGTGAGTCGAACCGTGTAAATCTGAGGCGTGACAGAAATAGATTAGTTTAATGTGTATGGCATAATTTTTGAATCTTAATGAGAAGTTTGATTAAATTTTGATTCAAATTGAATTAATTAGATTAAATCAATTAAATAGCCTTGGATTAATTAATTTAAGCTTTAATTACTTAACTTAATCCCTGATTAGTTAACTAAGCTAATCTAGCCTATATATACGTTAAGATAGGAGTTAGCTCATAATTTTTGAACTCAAAATCTGAGATAGAGAGTTTTAGAGAGGGAGAACTTAATTTTATAGAGAAGATAGCTTGAAGACTTGAAATTTTGCTTAAGGATTGAAAAATGAAGGAAGGCAACTCAAGTTTTTGCTAGAATTGGCGTTATTGAAGACCCTAGGTATGTATTTGAATCTTAATTTATGAATTACAACCTTCAATTATGTGTATTTATGAAGATTATGAATTTAAATGCAAGAATTGAGCTTAGAATGAAGAAATTTAAGTAAATTCATACATGTATGCATAAATTAGTAGAGTTTCATACTTTTTGGCATGATTCATGTCATCTAAGCTTGAATTGAAGGTTATATCATCCATGCATCCATGATTCATAAGGTTTTAAAGTTGGAATTCCGTGTTTTGAGAGTTTTGGAAAAGAATTTGAAGTTAATTGGGTTATGGTGAATTCAAGAAGCTTTGAGATTTGATTTTGCAAATTGATTTTGTATCCATGTTCTTGGAAGACTTTATAAGTATTTTCAAGGTTTTGACCAAGCCATGCAAGTCTTTGATTTGAAAATACATATTTTGAAGTTCAAAATGTGTTATGAAAAACCCAAAATTCGACCACATCACTCGAGCAAACAAGTTGTCACTCGAGCGCACATCTCATGCATCCAGTATTTTTGCAGACATTTGCAGTTGGCTCGAGCTACCGAGTTACCGCTCGATCAACTACATTTTGATTTTGCACCTTGGCTCGAGTGACCATCAAGCCTAGATTCGGACCATCCAGTACTTTTGCAGACTATGTGGTCCACTCGAGCGACCAATGTTGAGCTCGAGCGAAGTGTCATGTTTCAGCATATTTTGAAAAGTCATATTCTGACAACATTTTCATTCTCATTCTTATTCCTTTCTAAGCATTCTTAGGTATGAATTGAGCCTCCCAAATGAATTAGTAAGTTAGAATAAGACTTAAAAGAAATGAATAAGTTAAAGAACAATCCGGTTATGCAATATGATCCAATGTGTATATGTTTACGAATAGTGTAGGTTCATCCATAAAAAATGTATCAGTAACCAAATCATTGTGAGTAATATCTTAGTAAAGATATTTTCATGTACATTATTTTTTAAGTGTTTCCAATGTGGTAAGTTTTTCCGAACTTATGATTTTGTGATATGAATGAGCCTTCTACCTGTCCTATCTACATAATATTTGTGAATGTGATTGACAAGATACAAATGTATATGATGGACCTATGGTCATTCTGTATAATTAAAATGGACCCAAGGTTGTTCTATATATTTGATAAGATAGACCTAAGGTTGTTCTGAATATCTGATAAGTCTGAATATTTGTTATGAGATGACGAAATAGTCATTATACAGCTGTAAATGATTGGACCCAATATTGTTCCACCAAGTATGACCTGTCTGTTCTAAAATTTTGATTCATGTTAGACCCGAGGTCATTCCATTATGACAAGAACTTGAGTACGAAGTTAATTAAGTTAAATATTAGAACTCATTCATATAACCTCTTTACTCTGATGTTATTCACTGGTCTTTAGCTTACTCTGTTTTATATATATATATATATGTAGGTGAGCAGTGGGATGTCTAGCCCTAGTGAACCTGTGAAGGATTACCGAGTTCATGAAGTCAACCTTGAACGGCCTGTCATATGAGGCTTTTGTCCCTTTTATTTTTGTTGGTCATGTTTGACCACGTTTTGTACTTTTAACTTTCAAGTGTTGTAAGATGATGTTCTGTACTTGTGCGGAATGGTTTGTTGATATCTGTAATATGTATATATATGATCTGTGAGTTATTAATGTATAAAATGCTTTTGTTTATTTCATGTATGCACAGTCCATTAAACAAAATTTTATAATTATGCTTCTGCTTCTGAGCTCATATAATTAAATATGATTTGAATTTCGTCTGAGGCCATCGGTAATCTTACGATTACTGGCCAGTTGTGATCCAAACCTCTAGGCCGGGTTCAGGTCATCACATCAGTTGTCACCCAAATCACCTTAAGCATCCTTCCAACACAAATTTAAAAAAGGTTTTTGGGCAAACGCAATGTCATCCACAAGAATATACCAATTATCCAAATAAAACTAGGCAAACCTTGAAAACAAGACAGGCCAGCCATTAAGAATTCAATATTACCTTAACAAGCAGAGTCCGTAGAGAAAATATTCCCGGGGCGTCTACGCCATTCAAGTAGGCTTTGACTTCAGGTATACCCGAACCAGCAGCCTCGGGCGATATCAACGCCGTGATTACACTAGAGAACAAGGTGAGAACAAAATTTGAGGCAGCAAAAACAAGAAACGCCGCCAGAAACCTGCACAACATCAAGAAGAGTGACTTTCCACAAATTACAAGAAAAAATAAATAAAACAAAAATTGAGAGTTGTACTACGAACTTTCTAGCCAACATCATGTCGGAAGTGACGACGAACTTATAGCCAGCAACGTTCTCGACGGCGAGATTGTTGGTGAAACCGACGAGACCGACAACGATTCCGATAGCGAAACAGAGAGTCCACTTCATGAATATGTACTGGCATATTTGGATCTTGCTCCGACTCCTCCAGTCTTGCTTGAAGAAATCGTTCTCTACAATCCTTCCAATTCAAAAAAAAAAACAACCAAATCAGAAGCCTACTCAATTGCAATATGTAATAAATGTAGAGAGATTTGAGAGTGACTCGTAGTCTAGGCTTTCGATGGGGCAGAGGTTTGAGCCGACGATCGCTAGCTGAGAGGTGGTGTTGGAGGCTGATCGACGGAGGTAGTGATGAGGGAGGAGGGGCTGGATTGGAGACTCTTCCTCTGCATTGTTGTACATGGCTATCGCTTTGCTTGCTCGGTGATTGATTCTATCTAGAGAGGCAGAGACAGAGAGAGAGAGGATGGGATTGGATTAGTGGCGAGGAGAGACGTACAGAGGTAGAGAGAGAATTTGCAGGGACAGAGTCTCGACGGGCACAGTCTCCTTCCTTGCCTTTCCTTTCTAAACAAAAGTTATTTGGTGCTATTCTAATAGCATCTTTCGTTGTTCCATAATTTTGCACAAATTGACATTCTCTTTTCAACAAAGTCATAGGCCACGTTTTGGGTAAATGATATTTTAATCTAAAATCCAAAAAAAAAAAATTTTATTTTAAAAATTCAATCCAATTCATATCAAAACTCCATGATTCATTTTTATTCCTTCTACTTTTTTATTATGTTTTTGTAAACAATTAAAAAATTAGTCTAAAATTCTTAATTTTTTTTATCTCATATTTTAGTTAAAAAATAAAAAAAAAATTTACCTATAAATCTTATTTTGGAGAATGGTAATCCATTTAGTCTTAATAATTTTTTATAAATCAATTAATCTCATTAATTTTGAAAAAAAAGATTTAATATATTATTTAAAAATTAGATTTATACTTATATCTTTATTTCTATTATGTTTCCTTCTTCTTCTTCTTCTTCTTCTTTTTTTCTTTTTTTCTTTTGTGCTAGAAAGGTAAGACACGTGATCTATGAGAATCAAATTTGAGTAAATTTTTATATGAGAATCTTTTTTACTTGAAAAACATTCCAAAATGATGTATGTTTCTTCAAACATTTTAAAAGGAGTACAAAAACTCCTTAGTAAGTTCTAGGTGAATGTATAATTTCAAATTATGACACTCCAATGTAATGCTCAAACGTAACACTTCAAAAATATTTCTTAGTATACTTTTTTCAAGTATAACATTCCAATATTATATTTCAAAAAAATCCCCTTATTATAACACTCTAATATAACATATATAAAAATTTCTTAATGTACTTTTTTTCAAACGTAATCTCTAAAACAAAATATATGGGATTCTTCAAAACCATTCTAAAAGGAGTATAAAAATTCTTTAGTAAATTTTAGACAAATGTATAATTTCAAACTGTGAATGTTATGTTTAGAAAATATACACTAAAATTTTTTTTAGTGTTTTTGTATGTATTACATTGGAGTATTACGTTTGAAATTACATGGAATGGAGTGTTACATTTGGAAAAAGTACACAATTTTTTTTTTTCTTTTTTTTTTGCATTACATTGGATTGTTATGATTGGAAAAACTACACTAAGGAATTTTTATTGAGTGTTATGTTGTAATGTTTGAGAAAAGCATACTAAAGAATTTTTTAGTATGTTATATTGAAGCGTTATGTTTTTGTTCGTAATGTGAGATTTGTTCCCGAAGAAGAAAAAATTCAAAACCTCTACAGTATAGATTGTCCAAATGTGTAATTTCACATTTGAAAAAACTCACTTTTATCCCTCAAAAATTAAAACCAAATATGTAAGTGACTATTCTTTTATGTAATTTCTACTTTAATGGAACCTTTGGGCTCATAAGAAAAAAATGAAAAACTAAACAGTTCACAAAATCACATTTTAAGATTTATTAGTATTTCACCCAAAATAAAATAAAAATAAAAAAATAATAAAAATAAAAAATAAAAAAAATAAAAACTACTAAGAAATCCTCTAAAAATAAAAAAAATAAAAACTACTAAGAAATCCTCTTCCCAAACTACCCTTAAAATTTCACTACAAATTTCATCAAATTAGGAATTAATCAAATCTTTTACTAAATTTTTAATAATTTTTTTTATTGAAGTTTGATAAAATTATTAAAAATTGGAAGTTTGGAGATAAGTTTTATTTTTTATTTTTTATTATTACCTGAATCTGTTAAATGAGGCTTTTGAGATAAATTAACTATTTACAAAAAAAAATAAAAAATTTAATTCTCACCATTAGAATGAGTTATATCACATTAAACAAATTTAATAGAAAAAACAAAATAAAATGTTTGAGATGCTCTAAGATAAACGAGTTGGTTTAAGAGCCTATTCATTTTTAGAGTTAGGTTGGTTAGGATTATTAGTGTAGAAATTATTAGTGAACAGATTGTTAGTGTAGGGATTAATAGTGAGGTATTAAGAAAAATTATATTTGTTTTATGATCACCGGATTTGCAAGAATTCATGATTGTTTTGTTATTCTATGATGGAATTAATTAATCCCTTCACTAGGGGTATTTCTAATCCCAGGAGAAGGTTAGTCCCGTGGTCATTTCTGCAAACAAATATTATTTTAGTGGTCTCTACCTCCATCTTAGTTCAATCACAACCCCTATCACCAAAGCAAACAAAGCCTAAGAACATATTGTATTAATGTGATTGATATATATATTTCCATGTATCAAATCACTACTTCAATTTTGATCAATGTAGTTTAAATTGAGAATATTATGTAGGATCATTGGAATGAAGAGAGATCATAAAATCCAATCGAAAGTTGTAAAAATTTATTGGAATTTATTTCAAATTCTACCAATGTAAATAGAAGCACACCATACATATATTACAGAGAAAAATAATCATACACATATTTATGTAATTCGGTCCAAATGAACTACATTTATGAAAGAGAGAGAGAGAGAGAGAGATTCTACTATTATAAAATAAATAATATATGTGAGATGATCAAAATACTCAAAAGTCACACCACTACCCGAATCTTATACTCAAGGATAGTTGAGCCCTAACTTACTCCGATGCCTTACGGTATTTTTTTTCCCAACCTTTTTTTTTTTTTGTGGTAAACAGCGAACTAAAATATATTAAAAAGGCAAAGTTCTAGGGTATGAAACCCCTCTTGCATCATCATACAATTTATTCGAAAAATAAGAAGAAACAAAAGTAAAAACATGAAATGCTTTAATGACATTACTACTTTGATTTGCTAGAATGTCTGCGCGCTTGTTGGCTTCTCGATAAACATGATCAATCGTCGTGATCCCGAGCTACCTCATGAGGTACCTACAATCACATATGAGATTACTAAAATGGTGTCGTAAAGAAGGTTCTTGCATAATTAGGTTGATCACGGCTTTTGCTTCTAACTCTACAAAAATTTCCGACAATCCCTAGTTCATTGCCAATTTCAAGCCATCTCTGAGGGCCTAAAACTCAGCCTCTATATCCAAAGCTATGCCTATATTCCGAGCAAAACCTGCAACCCAACAACCCATCCAGTCACGAATAATACCACCCCCACTGGCTATACCAAGATTACCCTTAGTTGTACCATTAATAATATTGAGCTTGAAAGTTCCACTGCGAGGGGGTTTCCAACCAATAGGGAAACTAATTGGGCCTTTATTGAGCTTACCTATGTCGATAATATGTTGCCATTCCAAGGATCTAGCCACCACCAATGAAGCCCTAAAAGGAGTCAAGTTGGTTTGAAAACAAATAGAGTTACAATTTAACCAAATGGTCCAACACACATAAGGAAAAAAGGTTACCCAAATTATAGAGGATGGATGGGTTTCACCTGATTGATAATTCAATTTGAACCAAAAATGAAAATCAACTGAGAAATAGAGGATGGCCTTAGTGGGAATGCCAATAAAAGACCAACAATGAACATCAGAGTGACATTCTCTAAGGACGTGGTCAAAGGTTTTGGGAAAGCATTCACAAACTGGGCAAAGATTATCATCGACAATCTACCTTTGGAACAGCTAGGTTTTGGTGATGAAGAACACGCCAAACGAAGTGAAAGATATGCGTGTTAGTAGGAATAGCCCACACCCACCTCTAATTAATATGTGCTAGAATGGCGCATTCACCGCTTTGATGAGTGTAGCACGACCCGCAAAGGATAACAACTCGTTTTTCCACCTAGCAAGTTTTCCTTAAATCTTATAAATCAAGAATTGGAATGACTTTTTATTGGGCCTGGAATAGTGGATGGGATAGCCCAAATACTTGCCCAAATTCCTAGTGATAGGAATCATTAAAATACATGCAAGTTGTTGTTGAGTATTATCTTGAACATTCGAGGAGAAAAGAAATTTGGATTTACCAAAAATGATTTTTGGCCTAGACAACGTGCATAAATCTTGAAGAATGATAGAGATACTATGCCAATTGGCCTTTATGGCTTCCCCAAAAAAGATAAGATCATTTGCAAAAAATAGATGAGACAACAATGGACCAGTTCTCGAAATGCTAATAGTAGTCCAGCTATTATTATTACAATATTCAGAGATCCTAGAAGACTGGTACTCTAAGCAAAGAATGAAGATGTAAGGAGAAATAGGATCGCCTTGCTTGATTCCCTTAGAGGGAGTGAACTCCTCAGTGTAAAGAACTAGAGGTCACACAAGACATGATGAGGTCAACCTTAACAAGCAGGAAATTAAAGGACCTAAGCATGGTATGAATGAAAACTCCATTCTAACCTATCATAGGCTTTATTGAAATCATGTTTGATCAACATATTCCCTTTCTTGCTATTTTTCTCCTTAAAACTATGCACCACTTCTTGCACAATGATGACATTATCAATGCCTCTTTTACCCTAGATAAAGCTGGTTTGTAACGGATTGATGAGATCATCTAGCAGATGCCTAAGCCTAGCAACAAGAATTTTAGTGATGAGCTTATACATAGTGTTGCAAAGACCATTAGGAGGGAATTGAGTGATCACTTCAAGATTAGGGACCTTAGGGATGAGACAGATTAAGGTCTTATTGATTTCAGGATCTATATGACTAGACTTAAAAGCATTCGAAACCACTTTCACAACCAAAGGGGCAAGAGTATTCCAAAACTTGTGGAAAAAATAGGGTGGAGATCATCAAGTCTGGGAGCCTTCTAAGGCTTAAAAGTCCACAACACTCTCTTGATTTGGTCAAGATAGAGTGTAACCATGAAGGTGGAGTGATATGTCGAAACAATAGGAGGCAAGAAATGGAAGATCGGTTCGACACGGCGAGATTGAAGAAAGGAGCAGGTAAACATATTCCTAAAGTGGGCAAAGATGTTAGCCTTAATAATATCAACCTCATAAACCCAAGCATTATCAGAATT